AAGTGGAACCCACGACATGCGCGTGTGGAGAGGAGCAAACCACTGACCACCTGCTGCAATGCAACCTGAGCCCTGCTACATGCACAATGGAGGACCTTCTTGCGGCAACACCAGAGGCACTCCAAGTGGCCAGATACTGGTCAAAGGACATTTAAACAACTACCAAGCTTGCAAACTTTGTGTTTTGTCTGTGTTTTGTTTTGTTCTGTTAGAAATATAATACAATTGTCTGGTTGCCTGACACAATAAATACATAAATAAATAAATGAGGATTTAAAGATTGAACTGCAAAGACTCCAGCACAAGCCAGTCAAGGTGGTCCCAGTGGTGATCGGCACACTGGGTGCAGTGCCTAAAGACCTTGGCCTGCACTTAAAAACAATCGGCACTGACAAAATGACCATCTGGTAGCTGCAGAAGGCCGCCTAACTGAGATCTGCACGCATTATTCGCCGATACATCACACAGTCCTAGACGCTTGGGAAGAGTCCAACGTGTGATCCAATATAACAGCCAACAGTGATCTTGTCTGTTGTGGACTCATCTTGTTGTGTTTCAAATAATAATAACTTTATTTTTACACCCTGCCACCATCTCCCCAAGGGGAATCGGGACGGCTTACATGGGGACGTGCCCAAATCACAGATAAAAACAACGGCATTAAAGTCAACCAATAAAAACATGACACAGACACAAACAACATCATAAAAACAAAAATATGGCTGACAACAGAACCATTGCTGGGTCTTGGCTCAAGTAAGTGCAATACATTCTTAAGTAGAGCCAAGGGAAAGTGCAAAAGATTTGTTCAGGGCCAAGATCTGACTGAGGCTGAGAGAGTGTGGCCTGCCCAATGTCGTGGGGAATTCGCACTCTGACCTCCAGTCTCACAGAGGGAGCTTTCCTGTGCAGAGTCCAAGGGCGCTTCCCTTCCCAAGGAAGCAAATCCAGGAGCCAGGCGGCCCACACAGATAGGCAAGGCAGAGTGACGTCACTCTCCCGGAAGCCCCCGCCCACGAAGCGAATGCCAAAGCAAGCAACGCCAGCCGGGCGCCTTCCGACACCGGAAAGGCGGAGGGGCGGGGCCAAACAAACAGGTGGACGCGGCTTTGCTTTGTGGGCGGGGCCTCGAGGCGGGGGCGTGGCCTAATCTGCGCCTGCGCTCTGGCTGAAGAGGCGATTCCACCGTTCTAAAGCAGTGACAACATAGACTTTTCACAAAATTAGAGAGATACTTCATCACTATGCACGTCTCCACCAGAATGCAAATAGGACATGCATGTTATTTCCGATGCCACGGTTTTTCATTAACTGCATATGTGGAATGCATCACACCTGTATTAATCTATGCAGGCATGTTAAAAGCAAACTGTTCTGCAGCAAAAGAGACTTCTTTCAGGGTGCAGTTAACGTGAAGCTAATTTTGGACTACAGATCCCAGAATCCTTGAGCTGAGACTTCTGGGAGTCAAAGTCCAAAAACCTGGAAGTTGGGAAACATAATATCCAAAATCTTCACTCTCCTCCCCCCCCCCCCATCATACACTTCAAAATACTTCTCTCTATTTAGTTTCACCTACTTAAGTCTCTATTTTTTATTAATAACACTACGTAACAACATTTGAAAAACAATCTGTTCCTGGTTAGAAAGTGTTATTTCCTGTTTAATTTTGCAGTGCTTACTTTGAATGTAGTTATTATACTCCAGAAACTTTGTTTTTGTGGCTGTCACAAACTATGTTGAATTGGCTGAGTCTCTATGAGATACTAAATGAAAAACTATAGAAAAATGTGCTGTAGGGTGTCCCACAAAAACAAGGTTTTTGCATTGTCGAAGGCATTCATGGCTGGAATCACTGGGTTGTTGTAGTTTTTTTCGGGCTATGTGCCCATGGTCTAGAGGCATTCTCTCCTGACGTTTCGCCTGCATCTATGGTAAGCATCCTCAAAGGTAGTGAGGTCTCTTGGAAGTAGGAAAATGGGTTGTTATATCTGTGGAATGACCAGGGTGAGGCAAAGGACTCTTGTCTGCTGGAGCTAGGTGTGAATGTTTCAACTGACCACCTTGATTAGCATTTGATTGTCTGGCAGTGCCTGGAGCAAACTTTTGTTGAGAGATGATTAGATGTCCTTGTTTGTTTCCTCTCTGTTGTTGTGCTGTTGTAATTTTAGAGTTTTTTAATACTGGTAGCCAGATTTTGTTCATTTTCATGGTTTCCTCCTTTCTGTTGAAATTGTCCACATGCTTGTGTATTTCAATGGCTTCTCTGTGTAGTCTGACATGGTGGTTGTGAGAGTGGTCCAGTATTTCTGTGTTCTCAAATAAAATGCCATAGCTCAGCCATAGCAGAGCACCTGATGAACCAAGCTGGACACAGCATTTTATTTGAGAACACAGAAATGCTGGACCACTCCAACAACCACCATGTCAGTGTCTATGCAGAGTATGAATAGTAATGGTGAGAGTGCTGATTCCAGATGCACACCAACAGTGATCTTGAAAGGTGGTGAAATCTCTGCAGGGCAGTGGACCAAACTTGTTTTATTATTATATAGTCACTTTATCCATGTTACATAGGGTCCTATCACACAGCCATATCACTCAAAATGTCAAGGCAGAAAATCCTTGATAATGGGTTATCTAGGTTTACAATGTCATATATTCCAGTTCAAAGCAGAAAATGTGCGATTTTATTCAGTGTGTAGAAGGGGTCCTAGTCTTCTAGTATTCCATGTGACTCTAGCCCTTAATCAAGCAGTTCACAACCTGTGGGTCCCCAGATGTTTTGGCCTTCAATTCCCAGAAATCCTAACAGCTGGTAAACTGGCTGGGATTTCTGGGAATTGTATGCCAAAACACCTGGGGACCCACAGGTTGAGAACCACTACCTTAATCAGTCTATGATTGCTATGATACTTCATCTTATTGGCGGGAAGCTTCCCACCGGAGTGGAAATCATCTATCAGCCAGATGACAAGCTATTCAACCTCAGCAGACTGAAAGCCAAAACCAAGGTTACAACAACATGTTATCGAACTCCAGTATGCTGATGACAACATCATCTGTGTACATTCAGAAGACCTACAAGCCACTCTAACACCTTCGCAGAAGCATACGAGAAGCTCAGCCTGTCATTGAACATTGAGAAAACCAAAGTGCTCTTCCAGCAGTCACCAGCCAATCCCTTTCCAATGCTAGAGATACAGCTTAATGGTGTAACATTAGAAAATGTTGACCATTTCTGCTACCTTGGCAGCCACCTCCCCACAAAAGTCAACATTGACATCGAAATACAACACTGCCTGAGCTCTGCGAGTGCAGCATTTTTCCGACTGAAGCAGAGACGGGGACTTTCTACAGACGTCACATGCAACTCCTGGAACGATTCCATCTGCGCTGCCTCCAGAAAATCCTGCAAATCTCTTGGGAAGACAGTATCTCTCTAACGTCAGCGTGCTGGAAGAAGCAAAGACCACCAGCATTGAAGTGATGGTCCTCCGCCATCAACTCCGCTGGACCAGCCACGTTGTCCGGATGCCCGACCACCATCTCCCAAAGCAGTTGCTCTACTCTGAACTCAAGAACGGAAAGCGGAATGTTGGTGAACAGGAAAAGAGATTTAAAGATGGGCTCAAAGCCAACCTTAAAAACTGTGGCATAGACACTGAGAACTGGGAAGCCCTGGCCCTTGAGCACTCCAGCTGGAGGTCAGCTCTGACCAGCAGTGCTGTAGAATTTGAAGAGGCACGAATGGAGGGCGAAAGAGAGGAACGTGGCAAGAGGAAGGCACGTAAAGCCAACCCCAACCAGCACCACTTTTCACCTGGAAACTGATGCCCTTACTGTGGGAGAAGATGCAGGTCAAGAATAGGGCTCCACAGTCACCTACGGACCCACCGCCAGGACACCGATCTTGGAAGACAATCCTACTCGGACAACGAGGGATCGCCTAAGTAAGTAATCAGTCTACAAGTAAAACAAACAAAAAAATGGGTTGTTGTAGGTTTTTTCGGGCTATATGGCCATGTCCTACCTACCTCTGAGAATGCTTGCCATAGATGCAAGCGAAACGTCAGGAGAGAATGCCTCTAGAACATGGCCATATAGACCGAAAAAACCTACAACAACCCAGTGATTCCGGCCATGAAAGCCTTCGACAATACATAAAACAAAAAAATCCTCCCACTCTCATATAAGCCGAGATGGCTGGATGGACATCTGTCAGGGCTGCTTTGACTGTGCCTTTCCTGCATTGGCCTCTCCAACGCTATTTATTTAGGTTCTTGTAGGTTTTTTCGGGCTATAGCGCCATGTTCTAGAGGCATTTCTCCTGACGTTTCGCCTGCATCTATGGCAAGCATCCTCAGAGGCAGTGAGGTCTGTTGGAAATAGAAAAATAGGTTTATATATCTGTGGAATGACTGGGGTGGGGCAAAGAGCTCTCTGGTGAAGCTAGGTGTGAATGTTTCAGCTGAGCACCTTCATTAGCATTTGAAGGCCTGGCTGAGCCTGGGAAAATGTTCTGTTGAGAGGTGTTAAGATGTGCCTGGTTGTTTCCTCTCTGCTGTTTTGCTGTAGTAATTTTAGAGTTTTTTAATACTGGTAGCCAGATTTTGTTCATTTTCATGGTCTCCTCCTTTCTGTTGAAATTGTCCACATGCTTGTGGATTTCAATGGCTTCTCTGTGTAGTCTGACATGGTGGTTGTTGGAATGGTCCAGCATTTCTATTTATTTATTTATTTATTTATTTATCGTGTCAGGAGCAACCAGACATTTGCTTCTGGAGTGAGAGAATCAGCTGTCTACGAAGACGTTGCCCAGGAGACGCCCGGATGTCTTGCAATCCTGCGAGGAGGCTTCTCTCATGTCCCCCTCCAACGCTATGATTCTAATGGACATACATTCTAATAGGGAAATACTTTGTAGTCCTACTGCGTAGTGACTTCTGTCATTTTGGATCTATGTTCACAGACAGAAGGGGGCGTGGAATTCCGAGGCGAGGGGCGTGGCCACAGGGGGGGAAGTGGGCGGTCCGCCTGCGCGCTCTCTCTCTCCTCTGACGAACAACGTTGGCGGAAATGGTTTCGGCGCGGGCCGGAGGAGAGGGGGGCTACGGTGGCCGGGAGGGACTGGACTTGGCGGCGTGAGAGGCCGGAGAGGCAGAAGGCCCCTGCCTGGCGGGGCCGGAGGGTGAGATCTCCTTTCGCTGCCGCTGCCGCTGGGCTTGACATTGGCGGCCATGTCTCTGCTTCAGTCGGCGCTGGAGTTCCTGGCCGGGCCGGGCTCCCTGGGCGCCGCCAGCCGGGACCAGAATGACTTCGTGGGGCAAGTGGTGGAGATGGGCGAGATGAAGCTGAGGATCAAGAAGGTCATCGCTGAAGGTGGGCCCCATGGAAAGGAGCAGGAGGGAGAGGGAAGGGCCACAAGAAGGCCTCTGGGGCTCAACTGGGGAAGGGATTCTGAGGCCAAAGGACCTCCCGATTCCTTGTTTATTGTATTTGTATTACCAACTTAGAATTAAAACAACGATTAGGGCATCCCAAAGAGAAAACCCCAGTGTCTCTTCTTAACTGGCATGGCTCAATGCTATGGCATCCTGGGATTGGTAGCTTACTGAGGCACCTGCACTCTGAGACCTTGTAAGACCTTGTAAAACTATAACTCCCAAGATCCGAGTCATTCATGGCAGTTAAGGTGGAGTCCAATCCTGCTCTTTCGACATTGTAAATACAGGCCCCATCTATGCCATATAATCCAGTTTCTGAATACAGATTTATTTATTATTTCTATCCCGCCCATTTCAGCCCGAAGGCGACTCAGATTGTCATACACAGTCGGCGCAATTCGATGCCATCAAATACATACATTGATAAAGCAAAAAGAAACATTGCAATACATTTAAACATAAAGACAATGAATAATAAACATTTATAAAACTATGTCCTCCTGTTCAAATCCTGATCCGTTCCATCGTCTAGGCCAGTGTTTCTCAACCTGGGAGTCGGGACCCCTGGGGGGGTCACGAGGGGGTGTCAGAGGGATCCCCAAAGACCATCAAAAACCATAGTATTTTCTGTTGGTCATGGGGGTTCTGTGTGGGAAGTTTGGCCCAATTCTATCATTGGTGGAGTTCAGAAAGCTCTTTGATTGTAGGTGAACTATAAATCCCAGCAACTACAACTCCCAAATGTGAAGGCCTATTTCCTCCAAACTCCACTAGTGTTCACATTTGGGCATATTGAGTATTCATGCCAAGCTTGGCCCAGATCTATTATTGTTTGAGTCCACAGTGCTCTCTGGATATACGTGAACTACAACTCCCAAACTCAAGGTCAGTGCCCACCAAACCCTTCCAATATATTTCTCTTGATCATTGGAGGTTTGTGTGCCAAGATTGGTTCAATTCCATTGTTGGTGGAGCTAAGAATGCTCTTTGATTGTAGGCGAACTATAAATCCCAGTAACTATAACTCCCAAATATCAAAATCAATTTACCTCCCCAACCCCAAATTTAGGCATATTGAGTATTTGTGCCATATTTGGTCCAGTGAATGAGAATACATCCTGCATATCAGATATTTACATTACAATTAATAATAGTAGCAAAATTACAGTTCTGAAGTAGCAACAACAATAATTTTTATAATTGGGGGTCACCACAACATGAGGAATTGTATTACGGGGTCACGGCATTAGAAAGGTTGAGAACCACTGGTCTAGGCCATTCCTGGGTCATTTTCCGATTCAAGTTTTGTCTATTTATCCTGAGGTTCCGAATGCTTGCTCGAAGAGCCAAGTTTTTACTCTTTTTCGAAAGGTCAGGAGGGCGGAGGCTGATCTAATATCCCTAGGCAGGGAGATCCACAGCCGAGGGGCCACCACAGACAAAGCCCTGTCTCTTATCCCCGCCAAATGTGCCTCCGAAGCAGGCGGGATCGAGAGCAGGGCCTCCTCCGACCATCTCAAATTCCTAGAGGGGTTCATAGGAAGATTATCTGCTCTGAAGTGGATTATAAGGCAGTGTAGACTCATATAATCCGGTGGAAGGTAGAGAGAGAGGCAAGAAGCCCCTCTGGATAAATCCTGATAGGAAAATCCTATGACGGTCACCCTAGAACAGGTATGGGCAAACTTTGGCCCTGCAGGTGTTTTGGACTTTAACGCCCACCATTCCTAACAGCCGGTAGGCTGTTAGGAATGGTGGGCGTTGAAGTCCAAAACACCTGCAGGGCCAAAGTTTGCCCATACCTGGTGTAGATCCAGCCATAGCCAACGGTTTATTCTGTGTTAAAAACAACAGACACAGTCATTTACAAAGTGCATCAGAAATTCAAAGATGCCAGATCGGTGTCTCTTGCTCCCCCCCACCCCTTTAGTTATTTATTTACTTTTTTGGTACTTACAGGAATAAAAAAGAAATATAGATTCTCCGTTAACCCTTGGCACCCATTGGGATTGGCAGATGCCAGTTAAATGTAGTTTCTGAGTGCTTCAGAGTTGCAATTGGAGAGTGGAGAGTGACCATCCCATTTGTGTTGCCTCATCTATAGTGCTGCCCCTATGATTCATTTTTCCCCCATTCTAAACTGAAAGCCATACCCCAATTTCATTTTCTTGAGCTCCCCTCACTTACATATTTTCTATTCCTACCTCACCCAGGGTTTTATCATTTTATCTCATCCATTTGGCCTTCTCACCCTGTTTGATTTTATTGTGTGAATTTGCTTTATTATTTTACTTTGTTATTGTAAATTTATTTTCTGATACATTTTGTTTCTTATATTCTGTATTTTTTGTGTGTGTGTGTTGTATTGTATTTTAAAGGGCTTGGTCTCATGTTAGCCGCCCTGAGTCCCCATTGGGGAGATGGTGGCGGGGTATAAAGAAAGATTATTATTATTATTATTATTATTATTATTATTATTATTATTATTTGAAAACAGGCCCAATAACTCACTGTCCTGATTGATAATATGTTTTAGCCCAGTGGTTCTCAACCTGTGGGTCCCCAGGTGTTTTGGCCTACAACTCCCAGAAATCCCAGCCAGTTTACCACCTGTTAGGATTTCTGGGAGTTAAAGGCCAAAACATCTGGGGACCCACAGGGTGAGAACCACTGTTTTAGCCAATGTTATTTTATTTTTCTTCTATTGGTGTGTTTTAAATCTGTCTATTTTAATCGGACTGTTTTGTTTGTTTTATCTTGACATTGTACTTAGCATTGAATGTTTGCCATTTCGTTTTATGGAAGTCGTCCTGAGTCCACTTGGGGAGAAAGGCTGGGTTACAAATAACATTTTATTTTTATTATTATCACTATACAATTCACTAAACTTTATATTGATTTGATATTAATATTAAAATGCAGCCATTGAAAACAAAGACAAATAAAAATACACTTAATACAAAACAATTCTACTGTATTATACATGTATTTTTATTTTTATTTAAGGTATTATTTCTTCGACATTTTTGCCAGTTGCTTGAGTTTGCGTTGAGTTTCTGGTAGTCTCTTACTGTGGGATTACCATCGAAAAATTGGCAAATTTGTTAGGGAGAAAACTAAAAAGGAAGGAGACAGGAGAAAGAAAATGCTAACCACAGTTGTGGCTTATGAAAAGCCAAACACTTCCCGAGGAGAAAATAAAATAAATTCCCAAAACTTACCTATTAATTATTTAATAACCTTTGGCCATATTGATGGAACCATAATTGAGTTTTTAAAGAGGTGGTGCCATGGTGTTACAGCCTAACATATGTGGCTGCTTTCCCTTTTAAAAAATCATATTTTTCTCTTTACTCCATGGCCAAGAAGATGTTACTGGTTTACAGAGATATATGAATGTTTGCCTACTTGTTTTCCTGTTCTGACTGCTGAGGGCCCTTTTACACAGCCATATAACCCAGAACATCAAGGCAGAAAATCCCACAATATCTGCTTTGAACTGGGTTATCTGAGTCCCCACTGCCATATATTCCAGTTCAAAGCAGGTAATGTAGGATTTTATTCAGCTGCGCGGAAGGAGCCTGTGTCTTCAATTGTTTAATATACAGAAATGTAACAGGCCAAACAATTCTTGGCCTGGAGTTAAGGAATGAAAACTGACTTATACATTCTTGTGTGCTGATTTTAATGACAGGTATAATGATACTGAGCTGGGCAGACTAATTAAAGCAATGATGAACTACTTGTGGTCCGCCGGATATTGCGACACTACAACTCTCAGTAGTAGCAGAGTCGGTGATGAGGGATCCTGAGAGCTTCAGGGCACCAATATCTAGAGTGCCACAATTTGCTCAGTTCAGAATGGAAAAGTAACCTCCCCTTCCTTTCTAATGTGTGGGTCAAAGAGAAAGAGAGGAAAGGATAACTGCTGGGGTATGAGAGTTGTTCATCTTTGGCTTGCGTTTGGGACTGCATATCAGTCAGTTCAGCAGGCAAAGTCTTCCTAATGTCTTCTAGTGTTTCCTTGGGTTGGGAAGAAGCAGTGCTCTGAAACTAAAATATGACGGAAGATTCGCTTGATATGTATCTATGCACTTTCCTCCACATGCAATCTGTATTGAAAGGTGCTTGAACAAAGTGGGTGTATCTCTCTGAACTAATCTAGGGACACAAGCCATGTGTAAAGCAGAGATAAGGCCCTTAGGCATTATCCTTCTGTTTCAGGCTTGAGAAATCTCCTGAATATTTTACACCTTTTTAATTTTTGTAATTGTGTACATATTTAGACTTTCAGACATCTCCCTGAAGGTCATATTGAGTTGGGTAAAAATTGAACAGTATAGTTATGATGTATAGCAAGGTATAGTAACTGCTTGCACAATTACTCTCCTTCAGTTCTAAGGCCCCATTTACACTGCATTATATGGCAGTATAGATGGGGCCAAATACATGCTCTCCCCCCAGAAATATCTATTAATAACAGGTTGTGTGTGTGTATCTATATCTGTTGATGTTACTTAATTTAGTGTGCATCTTACAATTTGATTACATCTTAGAATAGAGAAATACAGTTACTTGTATTGCTCCTATAGCGATGTCTGTGGTCCTTGTTCTCTTAGTTTAATGGTAGCTGCAATATAGAGTGATTTGGGTCACATTTGTTCTCTAGACACCTGTTAGATGGCATTGACATACGTGTTTATAGGTTTTTCTTCCCACCTCATCCCTGTCATCACCTCGGAGTTATAATTTTGCATCTGAGAGACTTGGCTTTTGCTGCTTAGATGTGGGAGTGCTTTTCATAACATAACAAAATTCTTGAACTGGCTCTCACCAGTTCAAGAATTTTGTTATGTTCTCTTCCCAGGATCAAGTACTGTCTTTTCCCTCTTCTTCCATTCTTTTTGAGAAATTGACAAGTATGATGCTCGTCTT